TGTGGGTATTGCAGTTGGAGTGGTTCCTCTGTGGAAAAACTGTTTGAAATAATTCCATTCTTAGTGAATGAGAACAGAAATCAAGCTTTTTTTTTTCTTAATTCTATTGTATTAACTGATGCAGAAGAAATGAGAGTAGGATCACAGATGCTTGAAATCAACAAAATGTTAAAATAACATTACTAAGAATTTAACCAGAGAAGAAAAAAATATTTGTCTTGAGAAACAAAAATACTATGTAGAGTACCAAAGCTATAGGTTACAAAATGTGCTCTAGCACAAAATGAAAATGTCTTGTCTTTGGGGTTCTTTACAAGAAAAGTTACAAACATCACTACAGTTATCCATGACAAAAGTTAGATCAGACTTGGGCCCAAGTTACTCTTGTAGCATGTATGTAGCCAGAGGCATATGTTACTTTTTACCAATTTCCATGGGAACTGCTATTCCCCTTCTTTTTTGAGGGCTTTTCATAAAACATCTAAGGAGCTATTCTAAACAGCTATTCAGAAACCACATTTATTAAAATCAGTTCAAGTTAATTAACAAGAGTGGGACAGCTATAGTTGACTGAAGCAGTTATGTGAACCAGTATTTCCTAAAGCCTAGAGCAGACATTATTCAGGAGAAGATAAGTTCATTAGGGAGAATGCCTATTCAAAACACTGTAGTTTTCTTGACTAAAGCACATTTTCTTCTGCCAATTGTGTTGTTTCAAATATTCTGATTGGCATTTGAGGAAGATACTCTTTTTGCCTTCTGTAAAGGACATAGGTTGAACAAATACTGGGCTACTTAGCACCATAATTTGAAAATAAAGATGTAAATATCCCAGAACAGTTAAAACCAAAAAGCAGAACAAAAAGAGTCTGTGTTTTCCTGCGGTGTTTTTATGGGCATTACAGACCTAGCCAACGTGTGAGTAAATGCATTCTGATATTTCTTTACACAATATCTTGGCAAACACTTTGATAGAGCTGCAGCAGCAAACATGCAGTAAGTCCTTACAGAATGTATGTAAATACTTTAGCTAATTTAAAGTACTTAAATAGTCAAGGTCAGGTTGGATGGGGCCCTGGGCAGTCTGACCTGTTCCAGGGGGTGGCATCCCATGCTCATGACAGGGGGGTGGAACTCCATGATCTTTAAGGTCCCTTCCAAGCCAAGCCATTTGATTCCTGTAAGTATCTGACACTACCTGGTGTTAAGCACTGGAGAAGATGTAGTATACAGTTCTGATGATGTTCCTGGTGTATGAACATGCCTATCCCCATTTTGTTATTAGCTAAATTCACAGCTTAACTCTCCAGCATTTACTAGTGTGCAAACATACCTATTTATGCATTTGAATTATCAAATGAGTGGTGGTGTTTTGGCTGCATAGTGTTTATTTCAATACTGACAACTCAACTCTTTTCTTCCTCTAGTTCCAGAAAGGCTGACAGCATCAAATCCAGAACAAATTCTGAGTCAGAGCCTGGTTGGAATTTATATATTATAAACACTGTTTCAACCATTCAGCTTTACAGAGAAATGGTATTGCCCGACTCCTGCTTTTGTTGTTTGCTAACTAAAATAAGTACTGTTAATTAATCTCTGATGCATGCTATTGCTGAATATAATGTAATGTATTTCTCATGTATAGCCCATAATCTTATTTCAAATGGCTGCTTTCCTCATTAGAATTGCTCCTGTATATTCTTAATTTTTGCCAGTAGCTCAAGTATTTCCTGTGTCTGTTCTAGGTAGATTACAGTAGAACTTACGAAAACATTAAAACTGAGAGCTGCATCCATCTTTTAAGTGAGGCTCACTTACTGATCCGAGCAGCTATAATGGACCCTCATTTCCCTAAATCAGATGAGAAAGAAGAACTTCTAAGAGCGTTCAGAGAAAGTTGTGCATTCTTAGGAGACTGCTACAGCAGGTGTGTTTTAGATGTTGAACTGGTATAGGTGAGCTGTGTTTCCACTAATGTAACCTTAAAATGAAAATCCACGATTCTTTGCTGTTTTACATTAGTATTACATATGTAATATAAGTCTCTGTGTTTTACAAAAACAGCTTAATCTGGTCATCTCTTCAGTGTCTGGTTGTCTTTACTGTCATTAAACACAGAATGCAACCATTATGTGAATATGAACTATGAATATGCAGATAACTGATGTGTCTGTGACTTTGTTTGATGTATTGTTCTAGTTCTTACCAAGAGTGATGGCAAAAGTGTTGCCCTCAGTTGTTTTGTTAATTTTTTCCCTTCTTCTCTGTTGCCTACAGATTTGACACAAAGGATTACCACCTTGCTTTGCCATACTACAGAATGTCAGGTTTATCCATGACTGAAGTTTTAAAGAGACTAGTTTCAGAAGGTGATGAAATACAGACATATGAGAAAGGACTTATATTTTACTTAACTCACTCTCTTAATGAAGACTTGAATGAAGAATTAAGCAAGGTAGAAACAAGTTGGGGTTTTTTGTAATCTGTTGATTTAGTTCTGATTTTAAGAACTGTATATCCAATTTTAATCAAATTCCCATTGAAAATGATGAGCTGCTTATTTAGTTTCACAGTTATTTTTTTCACATTATTTTTATTTTCCCATTTTCACTGAAAAAATAGCAAGCAGCACTTGTGATGCTCTGGGCTGATTTCAAGCAATGTATTATGGATTTGGCTGTCATGATGCATGTTGGTAGTGATCTGTTACCCACTTGCACACAGAGACACTTCTGGTTTAGGAAAGCTCTGCCTCAAATTTCTTTCATCTCCCATTTCTGTAGCAAAACAAACTGTTTCTTTGAACATTGCCAAATTGTACAGTTTGGTAAAAACAATTCACTGTGGGGTTCTCCTAGCACCCCAGAATGTGGGTTGAATCACTACCAGTTAGTGATCCTTTATTTTTATTAGTAGGGAGGAGAGAGGCAGGAGAGGCACTGTGATTTGATAGCTAAGCTGTACTTGCCTGTTTAAAAAAAAAGGCCACCAAAACAACAACAAAACTGCACTACTTTCATATGCCATAGTAGACTGTATACCTGAAAAGGTCTCAACTGTCAAATGGCTTTTATTTCAATAGGAATCAGGAAATAAAATTCTCCAGATATTCTATCTCGCTGACCCCGTGCAGCTGCCTCATATCCTTTGCAGCCCCTGCATGAGAAATGTGTGTCCTTTGACAGCTGTGAAGTATCTTCAGAAAGTAGAAAAGATGATGCCATCAGTGGTCCTGACACTTACTAAGGCTTTTTTGGCTCTGAAAATGGGAGACCTGATAATGTATGAACATGAGATGGACACCTATAAAGAGGTAAAGTATGCTGAGAGCATGAGCTATTCACACTTTGCCAAAGCCCAGGTCAGTTGTTTGACTTGTAGTTGCATTTTACAGTAAAAGAAACTTTCAGTGACTTCTCTTCCTCCTGATGTGCTGTGTAGGCTCCACTGAATGTGTGCAATGGCAGTAGAATGGAGGGCTGGCACACACTGGGACTATACAGTTTACCCTGCAAGTAGGGTATTGTCTTGGCAAAGCCTTACCAAATAAGCAAAAGTTTTGAAGCTCTTAATTCTTGATAATTAAAATGCTGTTTACTGGGAGGTAACAAGCTCTGCAGAGCCAGTGCTCTTCAGCTGCCTGGCTTGTATAGCAGTATAGGGTTGTATAGTAGCATCTCTACACCCCTATACCTGAAATTAATATGTGATACAACCACGAAAACACCATCTCTATGGAAACAGTTGTTATGAAATTGCTCTTGAAGCAGTATATTCGTCCATTGTGCACACAAACTGAAATTTCAGTATACAATTTCACATGTTTCTTATGTGGCATCAAAGCACTTGACCCTTACTAAGACCAGATCAGAATCTACTTCAGTGCTATCAAAATAAGAATTCCTCATCAGTGGGGGGGGGAAATGTTAGTGGAGCTGTCTCTGCCATAGGTGTTCACATGTAGTTTTAGACTGAGATCAGTCTGTAAATTACTTCTTGGTAAGGTTGATCAGGACTGTGGAATATTCAAAGGTGACAGAGCTTGAAATACAGACTTTTTCTTAGAGTGAGACATTGGAAGTCTAAAAAGTTTTGAAATAAATGGATAGCTGTTCCAAAGTTAGATATCATACTTTGGTAGAAGAAGTCCTGGAGAGCTTTTAAAATCAGCAGTTTTTGAATTGCAAGGTGGGAACTGTGGGGAGCTCTTTCAAAAATTATATTCAGCATCATCTGCTTTTGCAGTGTGATCAAATGAAATTGCCATGTTGTGAGCAAACATACACATTCCACTGCATGGTTGTTATTTATAGAATAGAACAGAATTTATATATAGAAGGTGGCTGAGATATGGGTGTTGGGTTGTTTGGTTGGGTTTTCTTTCTTTCTTTTTAATCTGATCATATTAAATATGTTTTATTGCAGTTCACCTTTAAAGAAACATTTTGTTTCAAAGTAGAGGAAACTAACACTTAGAAAACTAAAGAAAGGAAAAATAGTTTGTATTCATAGCAGGGTGAAATCTGAATTTTCCTCCTAGGTCTGCCTTATATTTGTGTAATTAATTTAATTTCCTTAGGCATCATTTCTCCGCTGTCTTTAAAGTGGGAATAGCACCTTGTTATGGTTACCTTCAAAAGCACTCACATACCCAGAAACAACTTACTATTGCACAAAGCGCAGCACATTTTGATCGT